CAGCACCACCAGCACCACCAGCATGGACCGCCACCGTCACCAGCGCTACCACCGCGCCACCACGCCGGCACCACCAGCACCACCACCGCGTTCACTACGACCACGACCCCACTGCTGCTAGCAGAAGAACATGTACGCATGGCAGTAGAGAGGGCAAAGCTGACAGCTGCGGCTGGAATGGACATAATACTGAAGCAAGCAGGATAATCTCCACAATTGGCACGCATGCCAACTCTGCTACAGGGCTGCAAAAGTATGCTTGGCTGCTGCGGCAGATGTTGTCAGTTTTCTGACACAGCGTTCCTGCACGCCATGTGACATGCCGTGCTGGCTGTGTGCTTTGCGAGACTAGCCGTTCCATCCCTAAGGGATGCGACCTCAGGCAACAAGGTCCGCATTGTGCGAAAGATGACGCGAGTAAAGCTGTTGGATGTGGACTTGGCTGTCGGGTTGGGAAGCTAGACATTTTTCAACCCGAGGACGTACTCAAGTAAATGCTCTGGTGGGTTGATTTAATTAGGGCTTGAGCCCCTTCCACGAGCGCTTGTACCTCTTCCCATTGTGTGACAAGTACTTTTTTCATACTGCAACTTCTTTTGTGTAGATAGTTATGTTTGACACGCTGAGTTTTAGCTGTAGAGCCCTGTGGGGCGTGTTAGATCGTAGCTGAGCCTCCGCGAGAAGGGCTTGAGCCAGTAAAGCGCTACTCGAGCAAGGGTGGCCACCTCTGTGCAACCTCACGGTTTAAGGATTCTTCGAGCTCGGGCTTAAGGGCTTTCAGTTATTAGGGTTGAGCTTTTAGGCCAGCAATTGCGTAATCGCAATGAATGATGATTGCGACACTACTGACCATATTCCCAGTGTTTCTGCAGGTTGCGTAATTGTCCAGGGCTAAGGGATAGGAAATCCTAATGGCGTTGTGCGGATATTTGACAGGAAGAATGGCAGTGGGCAGTCCATGTAGCAACACTCAGTATCATGGCAGGGTGTTTTGGCATTTCCATTGACAGCTTCAAGCATGTCACAAAAAAATTGGAGCCTGGCGTCAGAGCCACGGCCTCACAAGTCCAACAGAAGACTGAAGAGCTTTCAACATTGGGGCTTGCATTTTTTCTTGACAATGGCTCCAGGCGCGAAGGTCCTAGTGCTGACAAACACAGAGGAGGAATGTGGGAGGTAGCAAGTAAGTGGTTGAAGTATGTTTCGGCTAGTGTGACTAAGGTGCACTCAGACGCACGCAACGTCAGGGCACTGGCCGTGCCCTGGTGTCAGCAGTCCAACTTAGGGCAAGAAGGTTATGGATAGCGCATTGGTATGAAGTGGAAAGGAAAAGAGTCTCACAGGAAGTGTATCATTGCGAACAATGGGACACCTGTGCAACTTCCCAAATTGTCGGAACCGTGTGTGCATTGCGCTTCGCCGAACTGCTATTGCTATCTAAGAGTCCATCCCGGCTCCTGCAAGTTCATATGCTTAGCTAGGGAAGCAGGGAATATATTATGTA